AAGAAAATTGGATTAAAGAACACCTGTTGCAATCTGAATGATGGAAATTCGACGAATTTGTCTCCAAAGCGATAGCTTTAGAAGCTGCTAGGTTAGAAAGTAACGAGCTAACCAAACTAACATGTGATTTTAGTGTAGACTCAACTAGTATCAATAAAATTGCCAGAACCATGCATAGGCGAAGGATTCAAAATCGAAGTAATTAAAATCAAAGATGGTTTCATCTTAACCTACAACATTTTATCCACGAAAATTCTTATAAATATGACGTTAAATAATATAATTTAATGAGGTACTAAAAACTCATAGATACCCATTTGCTTTCCAATTGAATCGTAAGATAATTTGATCACATGATCGAGAAAAAAGTTGTCCTTCAAAAACATTGGCCGTATGGTCTATATAACCTCGTTATTTTGACACGCTGGAGGTGGAGTGAATGCCAAATGGCCCACATAGACGTATCTTTGTGAGGGGTGCCGTTGCGTGTGAGGGGGGAGTAGGTAAGTCCCGGGAACACATATTGGTTGACAACGTTGATATTCTGCTCCGATTTAAGAAGACAAGAGCTAACCAATTTGTCTAATTTGTTATTTAATTTGATCACCATTTCCTCATTTAGTACTAGTTCTCCCGGGAACGTACATCCAAAATACTTTATAATTTCACCAGCCTTTGTTGATGGTATAACTTCTCCGTTAACTAGGGAGGGCATTGTTTGTTGCAGCTCTCCTTTCTCGATTATTAAGCCCACGCTTTTCTGTGGATTTATAGCGAGACCAATCTCGGCAAGGATCCTCTGCACACCATTGACCATCCTCTCTGCAGCACCCTTGTCACGTGCTGTAACAGCCTGGTCATCCGCGAAGCCTGTGAGGACCACACATTCTTGGCCGCTGGTTAATTTATATCCATAGCGGTTTGAAAATTCTTGTTCACACAGATCGCGGTATAAATCATCTATAGCCAGGTTGAACAGCGAGGGCGACAAGGGTCCGCTTTGGGGTACTCCTCCCCGCACCTTCATCCAGCTAGTCGAGTGGGCTCCGATTCCTATCTTGATTTATTTTGAACCCAGGAGAGCTGCAATTACGTTTTTCAGGTCCGGTGGCACTCCTCTTTCCTCTAATGAGCCGATTATATGATCGTGACCAACGTTGTCAAAAGCGCCTAAGACATCTAGAAACACCACCGCGCAATCATTCTTTTTATTCTTATCATCTTTTGTGTTCGCGTCGATGATTCTTGCGCTCACATTTGATCCCGGTAGGCCCCTGATGGCCGAAGGTGATCTGTTTTCTCAGTTCATAGTTCAGAATCTTCTCAATGATTCGGGGCACAACCGAATAAATGGTAATGGGTCGCCATGATGATATGCTGTTGGCATTGCCTTTACCCCTGTAGAGCAGGATTCTGAGCCCTTGACGTAGAGGCTGTAGTACATACGCCACCTTCAGCATGGACTTCGCAATAATCTTTATGATATATGATACATCAAAGAATTTAATCGTGCGGACCAAAACTCCGTCCGGCCCCGGCGATGTGTCCAATGACGTGGATTTTATGGCTTTTTTTACTGATTGGACATCGATGGATATCAAATTTGGCGTCGGGGCACAATTTTCGTAATCAGCACGTTTGCAGAGATTTTTTTTCTCAAAGAGGCTTCTGAAGTGGCTTTCAATCTCGGCTACCTCCAGAGGGCATTGCTTAGGAGCGTCAGCGTTCATAATGTTCTGCACCACTTTCTTCCTTCAATTATAATAATTATACTATGCTACCTCATATTGATATTGTTCTTGCCGACGACTCCTATCTGGCTTTTTGGCCCTCTGTGGATAAAAAAAAGAAAAAACAGTTATAGCATACCACACTGTTCCAACAATCTCAATAGGGAATGGATTCGGGCGTCCTTTCTTAGAATTTACTACACATGCAGAACAGAGATAGTAGGCAAAACTGTGACTCTTCTTCATCTACTTTTTAGCGCAATGCTTTATCACTTATAGGTACCACAGAATCTGGTCCAATCGTCAACGGTACCACCGATCTAAGATTATTTTGATGACTTAGCCTGCCAAGCTTACAAGCATGCGAGACCGAGTCTTTGCTAAAATAATCGAATGAAATGAATGTCTATTTCACCAGAAATCGTAAATATATAATTTGTTAACCACGCCATAGCCCGGTCCCAAGCCCGGATTAAAAAAGGAGGAGGGTTGAGTTTGAGGAAACTATTCCCGCCACGTAAAAAAATGAATGTAACTTTAAATTACATTATGAACTATAAAATAGATAGCGCGCTAATCTTATTATTTTACCAAGTTTTTGGTTTATATAATATTAAAAAATATAATCTAAATTATTTAGAATAGACAGGCAATGGAAAAATCGTGAAATTAAAAAAAAAGGATTGTTAAATTCAGAAATGTTTTTCGTTTTTATTATTATGGTTTAAAAACTACATTTCTTGTAAACTATAAAATGCATGATAAATTTTTTTAATAAAAATTTTAAATTAATTAAAACATTACAAATATAAGTTATATAATATTAAAAGTAATATTTCATAAGTTTTGTAATATTGTTCCTAATATATAAACCTGTAATTAAAAATATAAATTTAGTTTAATTTTTTCAAAGCTAATTGTTTATGTTTCCATGATACTAACAATTTATTTTAATTCAAAAAAATAAATATTTAGTGCTAGTTCATTGAATAAATTCAAAGGCGTTATATCCTGATATGTCAAATCCAAATAACTCACATGAGCTATGAAGAAAGAAGCCATGTAAATGCAAACGACCATGAGATAAAATTACCTATGAATGAAGATAAGAAACCAAAAATCTCGAACTTTTCTTGTGAAGTTCACCATTGTGCTTGGAAATCAAACGAAACCTTCGGCTACTGTTCATAAAAATATCTAACGTTTGTCCAATAAAACATAAATAATTCAGTTGAAATCAAACATCAGAAACTCGACAGTAAAAAGAAAATTCTATGCTCAACAACCAGTACTCACTTACTTGTCTATATTATAAAAAAATATATATATAAATACATCTATTTACAGCACAAAGCCATGATATAATTTTCACTTTAATTGATTTTGGTACCACTTCATCCAAGCCCAGTCAAATGCTCCGCCAAAATGTACAAGAAGATATCCATAAAAGGTTGGTTAAGTGAGAAATTGTAATTAATTTATTGTAGTTAATTGACATAATAAGAGAAATTATACAACCATAGGAGAAACTTATACTCAACAACCTCAATACATTTTATTTTGAAATGAATTGGACAACCAGATCAGCCAAATCATTTCTTACCTTTTACTACACATGCAGAATAGTTTGTCTTTCTTACAATTTCTGTAGAAGAGTGACTATAGGCAAAACTGTCGCTCTTCTTTCCTTTCTCCGTCGATGTTATAGTACAAAGTCCGAATATTTAGAAATACTATAGAATCTCGTTCTATCATCAATCACAGCACTAATCTACCAAGATTATTTTGAGGAATTAAACTACCAAGCTTGTGAGACCAAATACTACTTAATCAATTTTGTTAAAACTATCGAAGGAGATAAATTTATATTGTACCGAAAATTGTAAAAACACTATCGTTATAATTCCTCCCTATCCTAGTCCCAAGCCCGGGTTGAGAATGGAGATGATTTAAGGCTGGTGAACCGATTCCGGAACGAGTGTTTGACTTAATTGAGAAGAGGATTTGGAAAAGGAGAGTTTTAAATGTGAATAAGGAGGGGGCATAGCGAATTTTAAGACGGACAGAATTAAAAAAAGTGGTGGAGTGAGAAACAAAGGGGTTTTGGAATTTCGTGATAGTGATCTTGTGGTTAGGGAGTGGATAGAGCCCTTAAATTGGAGGAAATAGAACGCATAGGGCGTATTGTAACTGAGGAATTGAAGGTGATGGGATGGTCATTTAGGTGTAGGGTAGGAAAGTTGATATTGGATCTAAGAAGAATTTCGGAACCAATGACGATGGCCTGAGTTTTAGCAGCGTTTAACTTAAATCTATTTAAAATTGCCCAGATTTGGATACGATCTAAGTCTTCTTGAATTTTGCCAAACGCAACATATAAATCGGAGGAAAGAACGATAAATAAATTTGGAATCATTGACATAGAGATGATGGGAACAATGAAGGATAAATTTATGTATACCGTTAATATAGGAGCAAGGGTAAACGCACCAATAAATGACATTGTACCAGTACCTGACATCCTCCTCGAAAAATGAGAATGAAAAGATTTCAGGACCCCCTAGACCTATATTTCATAAATTTTTAGTTTCTATATTTTCTCCATGTATATTATTCTGCTTTGCTTTAGTCTTGACGGAAACCGTAGCCAAAATAATGAGTGGCAAATTAGGAAGGTCCCTCACTGTCCCAGGAACAATAGTTGCAACTTTGATATTTAGTTAAATATAGAGTCAAGAGCAGATAAATCAGAGGAAATTATTTCTCCTTTTTAAATATTGCAGATGAAATCTTTATTTGGTTGAATATATTTATTTTCAAATGAAACGACTTGAAGAATAAATTGTTTAATTTTTCAATCTTTTGCGACCTCTATGTAAATAGAGAAATACACGTGCTTGTTTTCAAACCTTCACTATCACCTTCCACTGTTTTGTTATTGAGTGAAATATTATTTTCACACTTTTGAATTAAATTTATCTATTGGTTCCATTTGCACTTTATAATCTTGAATAAAAATAACCCCATGGGTTAACTATCTTCGTTCAATATTTGGAATCAATTCGTTACAATGTTTAAATCTTTAAATAAGAATCAACTGTCATTTGTTTCTAAAGACACAAATACCCTTGCCTTATTAAAAGTTTACTTTTATAAATGACAATAGAATGTTGTTTGTATTTCCTGAATTTTTTATTAATGTAGTTAACAAAACCTACTTCCATTTTATTGTAAGTTGTAACCATATTTTGATGAATTTGTATTTTTGTTATGGAGAACTCAGAAGATTTAGAAGAGGTAATGTTGGAACATAATAAAGTTAGCTTTGATAAACTTTAACCTTTGATTAGAAAATATCATTGGGTCAGTTATCTCCTATATGCACATATGTGATTTAGTTAATATTTATGATTATGTAACATATAATAACTATAAAAACAACTGTTATGTTTAATTTATTATGAATTATAGTAGGAATTATGTTAGTTGTCATAAAAATATTGAAACCATTATTTATATATTTCTTATTTTTAAAAATATATACCCTTATTTATTTATATAAATATATATATATATATATATATATATATATATATATTCATATTCATATTTACATATACACATTTCGTTTGGCTGTAGTGTACATTAATTAGTTTTCCAGTACTTTGAATGTTACTTACCTTTAAAAACATTTTGTCATTACAAACATACATCTATTTATTTATAAATATGCATATGTATGTATATTTTTTTTTTAGAATACCGGGGTATTGGTTGCTGGTGTTGTGTATGTTTATATGAATCAGAACTTTCATGTATCCAGAAATGTTAGAGCTCAATGGTTTTTCAAACATTTGCACAAAAAATTGTCATTCCTGCCAAAGGATGATTTAGTAAGTAACTTTTTATTAGAAATCATAAATGTATTTTTAAGTTAATTTTTCCTTTAAAAATATTGAAATATATGATCATCATTTTAAGGAAGCGCTTTATATTACCAGTTCACAATTATATTAGAAATTATACAGAGGTTTGTTGTGATAATCAAACAATTTATTTGTATTTAAGGTTTAAATTATCTCATACCTCATAAATTTATCATGATTGCACATAAATGTGTGCTTAAAAAAAATTTGTGGAGAGTCTTGGTTTCCGTATATTGTAAGGAAGTTCTGTTTCAAGGCCAACAGTTGTGCAGAGAGATGATTAGGCCGAGATCTCGCTCAACTGCCAGGTTTTCCTCCTTATTTTATTTTATAATGGAGAGTACTCACTTTATAGAGGCTGGCTGGGTGTGCTTCAGAAAGGTTTCCTGATCCCAGGTTAAATCCATGGCTAACGTAACAGAATAATTAATTACCTCACACAATCAAACCCGGGACCTTCAGCATAGCTGCCGTGTCTTGCTGAATGTGCTAACCCACTCCCTTAAATGTCAACATAGCACAGAAAAATGGCTGAGAAATGTTTTATATTTCTTTAAAAACTAGTTTTATTGTTATTTTTTAATAAGAAGACTATATAAATTATATCATTAATTTTTTATTTATACCTTGAAATTTAAAAACTGTAAGATTACTCTAATAGAATGAAGGCCCTGAATAATCAATATTTCTTTGGATTATTAGTATAAACTCCAATTCAATGAATTTTAATTATTGTTGGTAGATCATACAGTAAATCTAGGAGTTGGTCCATGTGGTGGTCATAATTAACATGAAGTTTTATGTTGTCCTTAATCCCCATCCAGGCCATTTCCTTCTTGTTTTATTATTTCAGTTCAACTATCCAAATTGTTATATGATTGCCTGGAGCCTGGATTTATATGCAGTAAAAATCTATTCAATATGCAGTGAAATCAGTAAAATAACATGAAATATGCAATAAGACTGCTTAAATATTTATATAAACTGTTTGATATTTCAATTTTTCCAAAGGAAGAAAAGAATATAATAAATATTAATGTGAAAGAGAACATTTTCATTATATATACCTCAAATAAACTAATGTGTTTATAAAACGTTTTCAACTAATAAAGAAATTAATTAATGGAAGAATTTAGAACTGAATGCTGATGATTTTTTTTATGCGAAATAATATATTGGGTTGGCAAAGAAGTCCTTTCGGTTTTTCAGGGTGAAATAAAACTCAATGTATTGTAGACATAAAATTTATTTTAATCTACAATATGTTGACCACTAACTGCAAATTACCATATTCATAGAATGTCTGGAGTTTATTATTAAAAAACTGATCCAAGTGTTTTTTTATGTCCTCTTCCTTTTGGAATTTCTTTTCATTCATGGAGTTCTGCAGAGAAGTGGTAGTCACTTGGAGCTAGGTCTGATGAGTACGGAAGGTGGGGCAAAAGGTCCCATCCAAGGCTCAATAGTTTATTGCGAGTGATCAATGAGGTGTGGGGCCTAACGTCTTGGTGGAATACAACACCCTTTCCGACTGAAGTCTGGAAGCGGTTTCTAAAGGTCTGCATAGCAATGAAGCTGTTATCAGCTGGACCTGTTGCTCTTGGATGACCTGGTCACGGCCCCCTAGTTTAGCTTCCTGTCTCTCGGTACCTCTGGACTGCCCGCCTAACTGTTATTTCTGCAACTGAAGGCAGTCCGTGAACTTCGGCCGTATATTGCTGGCTTCGCTGTTCTCAATCAACCCAATAATCTGAATGACTGCCATGGATTCCAAAAAATTTTTACACTTTTAAAAATGTTTGATACAACTTAAATATTGTTTTTCAAGAAAAAAAAACCCAAAAGTGAAACCAATGCAATTGAACAGGAAACTGAAGACAAACTGATATGAAGTCCAAGTTTTACTTGATACTTTTAGTCTTAATCCTAAAGAGAGTTATGAAATTTTCTGAAAAGGATTGATGTATGGAAATCCTCTTTGGCCTGTTATTACTTCAGGCTTGAAAATATTTCTTTAATTTGCAGTTTTAACTTAAAATTTAAGTTTTACCGTTTTTTTTTGACCACCAGTATTGTATACCAAGATAAAGTCTGTAGAATATTTGAGTATACCACGACTGAGATCAAGATGTTTATTTTGCCCTCTGATCACCATGGAATTTATTTTAGAAGAACTAATGTACTTGAACAAATATTGCAATATTTTTTTCTTAAAATTGAAAGCAATGTAACTCCCCCCTCCCCCCATGAAGTTTTTAATTTTAAAGGAAGTAAAAGAAGGAAACTTCCAAACACTACAGGCTTTATTTCTTAGCACGGTTACTCCACTAAAGTGATGTCAGAAGTGTTGGATGATGAAAAGGACCAGGGCCTTACCTATAGCCAGCTTTTCTATGTTTTTTTTCTTTTATTTATATTAACTTCACACTTTTTTGACTCCTGTAAGTTTGGTAAAATAATTAATCCTCACATTATAAATATAAATCAGCCATTTGTGTCATAAATGGTTTTAGTTTTATCATCATTACTTTATATAACTCTCTTTATGATAAAATTCTGATTAATTAAAGTTTTTGATAATGATTGTATTTCAGGCTATTCAAGAAAATGAAATAGAAATTTTATCAATTTACCCCCAGGATCCTCCCCCAGATTGGGGACCTGATACAAGTTCTTCCTACCAGTATTTTATTACTTCCAGTACAAATATTGTTTATTTATCCAAAAACAATAAAGCGGTTTACTGCTTAGATCTTAGTCCGTCTCTTTCTGCTGTTGTAAGTATACAATATCTTACCATTTTATACTATTCTAGGAAACAATTTATGATTTGGATGTTCATAGTTTAAATCAGCCCAAATATTTGTTATCATTAATTAAAGTAAAATTTTTTTGTTATCATTCTTTGATTTTCACATGTTTCTTTATAAGGATGTGTAAGTTATATTATTGTGGGGAACTCAGTATATCATTCCTTTTTTTTTTAAACATTTATTTCAAAATTATCCTCTTATGACTTCACTATGGAACTTTCAATTTGAATTTGATAATTTGTTTAACAACTGGAATTTGATAATAATGTTATATCATCTTTTCGTTATTTTTTATCGTTATTCAAAATTTAAAAACACCTATAAGATATCATTCTACAGGTTATAAGTTTCAATATGGTAAGAGATTAATGTTGCTGTATCTCTTTATATGGTATTTAATTAAATATTTCAGGATTTATTTCTGAGAAAAATGTGTTTGAAAATTATATAACTTAAATTGATGATTGTCATCTGCATGGTGTAAATTATAGTCCTCTGTATCTGGCTCGGAAAAAACAACCTATTAAGGGGCAAATAAATATATTTGAAAAAAAAAATTTTAAGTTATTACTTTCTTTAGAATCTTGGAGTCACCCATCCGAGCATCATGTCTCAGCTTTCTAACCCATACATTATCCTCATTTCTAAGGACATTATAGAGCTCCTTCTTCTTTCTGTTCCTCCTGACGTCCTTCTCTTACTGATCCAAATATTATCCCTAGCACCTGTCTCTCAAATATCTGTGATGTATTTTCTTTTCCCATTGTGGTTGCCTATGCGTCTTACCCATAGGTGAGCACCGGGCGTACCAGGGTCTTGTAGGGGTTGATTTTTGTATTGGAGAAAAGATTCTTACTCTTGAAATGGTTAGACAGGCTGTGGAAGCATCTATTGGCAGCATTGACCCGCCGGAAAGTCACCAGATACTCAAAAGTTTCCACTCTCTGAAACTGATAATAGCCAATGTTCGGGAATGTGATATGATCTCCACCACTTCAGGCTCATATTTAGTTTTTTGTTCATTAACTATGAGACCGAATTCTCTGGCACCTGTTTCAAAAGAAATGAATCCCTCCTTCAATGCCTGTTCAGAAATTATCAATGTCTGCTGATGTCAACGTCATTGGCTTTTCATAGGATGTTATAAAGTTCTGTTGAATTGTGCTTGTTTTCTATATTTTTGAACAGCTGTATTTCTAATACCAGATTAAACAATAAACAAGGATGTATCCTTGTCTTACTCCATTACTTGTTCCAAATCCTTCAGAAATGTTTGACTCCACACAAATTTCACATTTTGAATTTATCATAGTCAACTTTACTAGTTGTATGAGTTTTCATTGGACTTAAAGCTCTTCAATGGTCTTGTGCAGTTTCTCTTTGCCAATACTGTCATATGCCGACTTAAACTCGAAGAGACAGTGAGTGTTCACCTTGTATTCCATGTCCTTTTCCAGGATCATCTGCAAAGTGAAGATCAATAATACTCATAGATCCATTGTAAAATTAACTAAAACAAAAAAGTTATATATATATATATATATATATATATATATATATATATATATATATATATATACACACACACACAAGTTAACTTTAGGCTAGTTCAACAATACACAAAGGGTTCAGATATCGTTTCAATAACAAATAACTTTATTATTACAAATTAAAGATTTACAATACGTTTTTAACAGATAACAGCTAACATCTGTTTTTTTTTTATTATCTTAAAATACGTGAAAATATCAAGCCTTATCTTATTATTCACAAGCTTTACTGAAGCACCCTACTTAACACTCCCCTCCCAGTTCACAAAGTGAACTCAGAGTTATACGTAAATAGGACACAACAAATATTGCTGAAAATAACAAAAAAGTAGAAATTAACATTCAAAAATTACAAATAAAACTATAACCTAGAGCAGTTACACAAAATAATATTTAAAAGAAGAAAAAATAGATCCTTATAGGGCGTATTGTGGAATGATGTTCTCAGCAGTACCTGGGTCAAGATGACGTATATGTGTGTGCTTTACTCTTTGATTACCAGTAAGCTCTTGAACTGATACAATATTATGCTCCCATAACGCTATCACTTAATAGTCCTTCGTAACGCTTGTCTCCCTTTCGCCGATTCGACATTGGCCGCCGATATACCGTCATACCTAGTTTAATTTTATGCGATTCATCGGGGACAACTAGACAGGTGCAATTTGCTCTTAAGAGTTTTTCCCGAAGTAGTTTGGTGTGGGCCTTCTGACATATGTCCGCTAGTTGCTTATGCTTATGCAAAACCGCGTCATGTAAGTATAAGTACACCGTTGTGAGAATATCACCCCTGTTCCATAAAGGATGACCAAACACTATTTCCAACGGTTTGAATCCCGTGGCTGAGTGGATAGTATTACTATATGCTAATACCGCACAATAATACAGCAATGCTCTGGGCTCCCAATCCCCTATGAAGCTGAAACAAGCGAAGGTGTTCCCCTAGAGTACTGTGAAGCCGTTCAATAGCTCCACGTCCTGGTGGGTTCACTGAAGAATTGAAGTGCCACTGCATACTAAGGTGTGAGCACTCCACAGTGGTTCAAGCATTCTTAAAATTCCTTCCACCATCCGATATTTGTTCACCATCCGATATCTGTTAATATTTGTTCTAATTATTGCTAAGTTGGTTTCATAAACTATATTTCCTTCCCCAATAGTATCTAACAATACTTTTAGCTGAGAAAACCAATTATATTTCGATAGAGCAGGATTAGCTGAGTGACATTTATTTCTTAACTTTTCGAAACATATTTTTGGATATCTACATTTCTTCATTTCCACAAGTTTAACCAACCAATTCAATGAATACTTCATAATATTGAAACCAATATGAATAGACCCTGTCTCTAAACGCACTAAAAAGTCTGTGGTTGTTTTACATAGCGAATATGTCTTTGAAATTTGTGTTGACCTTTTTAAGAGCTCTATGTACCGGAGACTCCATACTTGGGCACAATATAGCAGAGATTTATTGATGATAGCTTTTTTCAACTTATCTCTCACCTTACAGGAGTTCGTTTTTGCTTTAGAACAAATGTTTATTACACTACCTATTGTCAAGTTTGACTTAGAGATTGCCATCTGAACTGCTTGTGAAAACAAACAAGACCTACAAAAGTGAACATCTAAATAATTGTATGTACTGACTGTATCAATCAGTTTTCCATCCAAATATATACTATTACTAGTAGGCCAGTGGGAAAAATTCGCACAGCATATTGTTAAGTGATCAAATGCCTAATTAATAAGAAAATAAAATAATGCAACGTATCATAGGGTGAAGAAATCAATTGTTACTTTATCGATAAATATAATTGACAAATGAAACAAAAATTAATTAAAAACTTCATTAATGTTTGGAACCAACATCTTTACAAATTTCAATTAGCTTTACTAAAAATTGTCCGACTTCGATGATTTTTTTTCCGTTTTTAGGGAATTTAGTAATCTTTTATATAATCATGGGCATAATCAAGGGTGCACTTTTTTAGTTTTTCGCAAATAAAGTTCGTTTTCTTTCATAACTTCTTTGCCTGAATTTTCGGGGTGATTGAACTATTTTGCCCGCCTGAAGGAGAAGGAAGCCTTCAAAATTGGTGGTTCAATCTTGGGATTTGGTAAAGAATTAACGATGATATGGCTTGCCGATCAAAAACACCATCGATAAATAATATAAACTCTTCCTCTCTCGATCCTAGAGACCTCAAGTCGACGAAATGAGAAATGTATTCATGCTTGACAGCACCACAATTAACGTAAGGTTGTGTGGATGCGAATCTTATACCTTGCGTTATCTCGAAAATAGTACATTTTTGAGCTTGAAAACGCAGAAACCGATAGTTCCGAGGGAAGTATCCGGGTCTTGCTGCACACATCAAAATCTTCAAAGCCCGGTTTGTCCCATATTGATTGACTTACCACCGTTCCTGTATTGAAGCCAAGCAAAGTGTTTGTATCGACTTTATTTATTTTAGAAAGAAAAACAAAAGTGGAGAATACGATTCGCTAACCCATCGTGAAATTCTGAATCCAACGGTACCCCATTCATGGTATTTGAACATGGCAGGATCTTATATTTGGTACAAAACCGATTTCGAGCCTTACTGTAATAATATACGTGGGGATATTTCTTTGGGTGTCCCCTAGGGAAATTCAAAATTTTCGTTTTATCAATGTTTATAATTAGTTTATTGTCCCTGCAGTATACATTTAGAGCATTAATTTTTTTTTACCAGGCTGGTATAGGAATCAGCAAAAATAGCCATGTCATCTACAAACAAGAGCAACAGTATGTCAACACATCCATTAATAGGTATACCAGACAGGTTACGCTTGCGAAAGTATTTCTCAATATCAGATAAGGAAAGATTAAACAGCATGGGACTCAGTGTCTCTCCTTGTAGCACACCTTCGGTAATTTTAAAGTTTTGCGACAGTCCTCCAGCGGTTCCCTTTATTTGTGTGTACGCATTATCATACATGTATCCCATAACTCGAATTATTTTCCCACTCAGACCTATAGAAAAGTTTTTGTGCCAAAGTAGGTTGTGATTTGTGGAGTCAAAAGCCCGACAAAAGTCAATAAAAATAACGAAAAGGTTAGACTTCTCTTTTAAAAATTGGTTTTGGATAACGGCATTTAAGACAAAAATATTATCTAAGCAGCTTCTCCTATTTCTGAATCCTGATTGGCATTCAGGTATAATTCCGGTATAATTGTTATTTGTTCCAACAGGATTTGGGTATAAATTTTGGAAGCACAGTTTGTCATAGATATATTTCGATAATTAAGTGGGTTTCCTCGGTCTTCTTTCTTAAATATCATTATGCTCAAAATTTCAGCCCATGATTTAAGCATCTCCTCATTCTTCAGAATTTTATTGAATAAATTCTGTATATACAATAACCAAT